GTCAGTGCAACCGTCATTCACCTGCTTTCTACTCGGACTGACCAATCACAGCCTCCAACAAAGGTTTCCAAGGAGGTGGCATCTATGATTCGGCGTCGACTGTCGGACTCAACACGAATACCCTCATTCTATTCGTCTTCTGCCTATGTGTCGCTATTGTCTTTAGCTACGTCTACGTATTGCTGGCTCGCCAATTTCCAAAGCAGTTCATCTGGATAACGTTAGTCCCTATCTGGAATCCTCTTCTCCAGGAGTTAGGATTAATTCTAACTATTCAACTACAGTGGTATCCTTAATATCATTTTCGGCCTCGTCACAGCAATCTATATGCTCTCGCGACATTATTACTCAGGCGGCATCGTCTTCTTGATCTTCGTAGTCTTCCTCATGTTTGCTTTCTACGTGAGTTTATTCATCCCCCCGATGTTTGCATCTCCTTTTACTCACGACTCGCTAGTCTTGGATCCCACGGATTCCATTCAGTGCTCTTATGCTGAAGACAGCTGTCGATGTTTCCAAGAGCTATGGTCACGTTTATCTCGTTAGTGCACTCGGTGGCCTTTGTGCAACTGCTCTCGCTGCATGGTACTCAGTCACCTTCGTCGCCGTATATGCAAAGTATTCCCCGGGGCAAAACCCGGCCTGTGCAAATGGAGCCGGCGGTTGTAGTAGTGCCACAGTTACCGGTCTACTGGTGTTTATCACCTTCGCGATGTACTGGATTTCGGAATGGTTGAAAAACACCATTCACACCACCATCTCAGGGGTCTACGGGTCTTGGTATTTTCACCCGCACAATCTACCAAAGGGTGCTACCCGAGGCAGTCTCCGAAGGGCCCTTACATACAGCTTCGGCTCTATATCTCTCGGCTCCCTGCTTGTGGCCATCATCAATTTTCTGAGACAGATGTGCTCCGTGGCCCGACAGAGTGAGGCCGCGCAGGGCAACATAGTTGGAACTATCATGTTCTGGATTCTAGGGTGCATCATTGGGCTCTTGGACTGGGCAGTGCAGTTCCTCAATCGTTACGCCTTCTCGTACATCGCGCTATACGGCAAATCTTACTTCGCTGCTGCTAAAGATACGTGGAACATGATTAAGCAGCGCGGTATCGATGCTCTTATCAACGAATGCCTCATCGGTCCAGTCCTTTCCATGGGAGCAACATTTGTTGGCTACGCAACGAGTTTGCTAGCCTACTTATATCTTGTAAGTTCTCGTTCATTTCAATAACTTGGATAATAGGCTTGCTCACACGGCGTTATAGGTCTTCACTCATCCGTCATACAATGCCGACGGTTCCTACACTCCCGGTAAGTTTCCGAGATTCCCACAGCACCCTATCGCGGGGCTTCTCTATATGGTCTTGACGTCATGCGGTTAACTAACATGAGGTGCAATAGTCGTGGTAGCTTTCGCGTTCCTCATTGGCTTGCAGATCTGCAACGTCTTCACAACACCGATCAGCAGCGGCATCGACACCATTTTTGTGGCGACCGCATGGGAGCCGCAGGCGTTGATGCAAAACCATCCCGACTTGTACGATGCTATGGTCAGGGTCTATCCGCAAGTCCAAGTAGCCATCCATGCTTGAACATTGGGAAGGCCACGTTTGAGGAGTAGGTTAGGGCTATAATCCTCAAATTTCGACGCGTCGAGAGAATCGTGTTCCGTGGGTTAGCGTGACGGGAGTTTCGTGGCGTTTCGACGTTTTGCAAATTCATGAGGGCTCATTGATACCAAGGAGACGAGGACGTTACGGACCTCGGTAGTTATTATTATTGTAATCTCAATCCTGAAGGCACTTGTTTGAGGTCTGTTGGTGTGATGAGACATTCTGTGTTCTGTGGTCAAGCCTAAAGTGATAGACCATTTTCAATTGGGCGCGTGACCGCGATTTAATTGAAAGACTTTGACTGAACTTATCTACCTAGATCTTTATGCGCTTGATTCTACCAAGCATCAGGATGTCCGCGATGTTAGGTTAACTTATATATCTTATTCAACCAGATCCTTGAAGGCCGATATGGAGGAAGATCGTTGCACGGCTGCGGAATAGTAACTACCACATATAGGTAGCTTCGTTGGCTGCTAGTTGACGATTCAGTAGGCAGAAATGGCGATAACGTTGCCCAAGTTAGCATATTTTATCGAACAAACAGGGGCCCTGCGCATTGAGCCAACATCAAGTCCCCTGCGCCGCCGAGACGCCGGGTCGCCTCCAAGCGAGATTGATCGACACTAAATCTAGGCTGCACACCAGGACAGGTTAGCGGGCGGCGTAGGCGCAGATACGATCATTGAACTTCTCCCAGTCAATGAGACCACTGCTGGTCGCTACACAGCAGGCAATGGTGACTGCTGCCTCAAGATGTGACTACAATTCCGAGAGTATATCTACATACCTAGGGTATGACGTGAATAGTCTCTGGTGCTGAGAATGATACTGGCACGAAGGTACTCGCGATTTGTAATTCGCTTAGCATCAAGCCACCGAATTTTGTGTCTCCTAGACGAGACTACGCAGAGACGCATCATGTCTGGCAGCAACCCCTTCTCGACGCTGTTTAATCAGCAGAATCCGACGGCTAAGCTGGCTATCCTGAAACCAGCTGCCGACCGTAATGCTCCTATCGAGCTTGACCTCACAGATGCGCCTCTGAAGGAGACTTCGTACGAATGCATCTCGTACGACCGCTCGGCAAAGACGTCTGCCGCCGACGACAACACGGTGATTATCTCTGTTGACGGCGAGGACCAGACCATCCCCAAAGCGCTCGCGAGCGCGCTGCGCACGTTCCGCCGTAAGGAACGGCCGCGCACGCTCTGGGCCGACCTGCTGGTAGGCCGCACGGTCGAGGAGCGCAGCGCGCAGGCAAGCCACCAGCGCCACGTGCTCGAGAACGCCGAGCGCACGCTGTGCTGGCTGGGCCTCGACAAGGGGGAGTCCACAGCCAAGGCGTTCGAGACTATTCACGAGATGGGGCGGCGCTGGGACGAGGCTAGCCGCGAAGTCGGCATGGACCCCGACGCGAACCTGACCCGAACTACCATGCAGCAGATCGCAGGGCTGAGGGAGAAGCTCTCTAGCTGTCCGTACAACGACCTGAACTCTTTTGACTTCGCGCACTGGCGTGAGATCTACGACATCTTCGGCTCGTCGTACTGGATGTCCGTGCAGTGTGTCTCCGACGTCGTGCTGGCCAAGGCGCCGATCGTGGTATGCGGCCGGAGCAACATCCGCTGGCACTCGTATATCGCGGCTTCGCGGGCCATGCCGCTCTATCAGGCCAAGTTCTTCCAGGTCCCGCTGCTGCCGCACGTCTTCAAGGGCTTCGAGATCGCCAACTCGATCGAGCTCGCGGAGCGCAGGAGGCGGCTTGGCGAGACCATTGAGCTACTGCCCATGATCCAGACGGCGCGGGACTGCGGCGCCGCTGACCCTAGGGAAAACGTGTTTTCCATGATGCTCATCTCGACGCCGTCTGCACGCCTTAAGTTCCATAAAGCCGGCCCGCAATCCCTGCCGGCTATCGACTACGCGAAGACCACCCAGCAGGTCTTTACCGAAGCCGCGCGGTATGTCATTCTAGAGCGGCAGGACCTACTACTGTGGAATAATGAGCGCCCGCCTTGCGCCCGCCGCGTACCGGGGATGCCGAGCTGGGTCCCGGACTTCAGCGCCGTACCGCCCAAGGTCCCGGCGCGGCTCAACCCGAACAGCGGCATGCGCGTTTGGTGGGATAACATCAGCCCCGCCTCCGCTGTGAAGCCGATCACTGCGTCTGAGGATGGAAATGCGCTGCACATACAGGTGCGGCCGCTCGACCGTATCGTGCACGTCTCGGACATCTTCAACGCGGGCAACTGCCGACCGCTATGCCTGTCCGAGTTCCAAGGAATTGTCTCCAGCACAACCTCCTCATTCGCGAACGAAACTTTCGAGCAGAAGAACGAGCGCTTCTGGCGCACGCTGATCCTAAATTCCGGCGGGGTCCGGGACGCCTCTGCAACTCTCCGCGACAACGCACCACCGCCAGCGGAGATGCGCGTAAACTTCGAGAGCCTTATTGCGGAGGAGACGATCCTCGCCGCACTAGGCTGCACCCCGCACGACCTGCAGAGGCCGGCGAACGCAGCACGCATACAGGCAAGTCCCGAGCTAACGGCACTAGTGCCGCGATGCGGCCAGGCCCAGCCCTACGAGGCGCTGCTCGCCAAGGCCGCGGCCGGCCGGCGCTTCTTCCGCACCGCGGGGGGCCGTTTCGGCATGACGGCCATCGAGGACGTCGTGTGCGCCGACAGCAACCTGCGCGGCGAGCAGCCGCGCGAACCGGCCGGGAACCTGAGGGCCGCCGCGGCGGATATGAGCCGCCTCATGAGCGACCCCCTCACCGCCGGCGCGCTGCAGGGCTTCCAGCAGTACCTCTTCGAGCGCGACCCGCAGACCGCGCGTGTGGCAGCACGGGCTTTCCGCGGCCAGGTTGATGGGCTGCCTGGGGGCGAGGGCGAGGAGCCGCGTACGGATGGTGGCGTCATGGAGGGGGATTTGGTGGTGGCGTGTGTGGGCGGGTTTGTGCCTTATGTGCTTCGACCCCAGAAACGGGAGGAGGCTGGAGAAGATGGGAACTCTACTGGATCTACAGCCGAGGGCTCAGAGGACTCGTCGACATATGAGTTCGTCGGCGAATGCTACCTGCACGGGGCCATGGAGGCCGAGGATTTCCAAGCTACCGGCTTCCTGGGGCGGAGGTATTTCAATGTTGATGTTTCGAAACTTGTTGATGTTACGATTGTGTAAGAGAACGAAAGAAAGAAAGAAAGAAAGAGAGGAAGAGAAGGTGAACTGATCGCAGGGGGTTTGGTTGTAAGGATGGATGGATGAGAGAGAAGGAAAGAAAGTACGATGGCGTTAAGGTTAGGGGGCGATTCGCCATGAACATTTACAAAGATGGCAAGTACATACATAATAGACAACAACGCTATATAATATCATTCAACCCGCCTAGCTCAATGGTTAGAGCGTGGGACTTTTAAGACGCGTTCTACACGCGCAAACACAATCCCAAGGTTGCGAGTTCGAGTCTCGCGGTGGGTGGCTTGTTTTTCTTTTTTTACACGCTCCACATCTCCCTACATACGCATGTTTGGGTTCTGTTGTGGCTTCAAACTTCACGATTGTGGTGAGACCCTCTCCTTTGTGACTTATAGCGTGGGATTAGATACGTGGGTTGGGTCACAAACTCAAGTAGTGAAAACAACCAGCCTGTGAGGGTCGGACCGAAGGTAATCAAGACTAAGCTCGAATCAATCGTATTCGTGAAGAGACTATTCTAAGATACAGAGAAAAGGAGGAAAGAATAAGAACAATGGTTCGCATCTCTAGAATCAAATAGGTGGGAGCAACGCTCGGACCACCAGCTCGTCTCCCAGGAGCCTCCCCCGGCAACCCCCCATATCCGGGGAACCCAGCCCTAAGGCCTCAGGCACCCAGGCACGCCACCAGCCCCAAGGTTCCTAGCCCTTGGGGCTCCAGCCACATGCGGGTTGTGACACGGCCTCGTCAAGTCTACTATAATATAACTGACAACTATGAGTAAAACAGGCTGACTTTGATCTGTATTTATTAGGTGTGATACATAGCCGAGGGTTACTTACTATATGGTGGTTTTGATACATTTCATTTCGGTGGCGTTGCTACCCCTTTTCGAGTCTATGTAGCTCAGTGCCACTCTGCAAACGTCTTGTGGTATGGCAAGCAACGCGTTTATCGCAAGTGTTAATTCAGTTAATCAGTCGTTAAATACTTACTCCCGCCAGGAAAGTCGAGTACAATCACATCTATAGCCTTCTTAGTGACACTTCACAATGCCGTGTACGCGATACGCAGCACGCCGTCAAACAACAGCAGATCATAAACAAGCGCAAAAGCGACTTATAATAATATTGAAAGCAAACCGAGGGGTGATGTAACCACGAGCACGAGTACTCGGATAAACATATAGTTAGGCCTAATCAACGGGCGCCTAGTCCTGATCCTGATCCCAATCCCTTCCTCGGATCAAACACACAAACATCCTAAGTAAAAGCACGCCCTCTCTTCCTTGACCGTCGTCGTTGGTCGGCCAGTAAAGACAGTTGAGCCGCCTTCCACCGTCTCAGTGGTTTTGTGTCCGCGAACGCCGATAGAACTCCGCAGCAGTACTAGAATCGTAGAAAACACCGAGTATCATGGCCTCCTCTGTGAACTGCCTGTCCACAGTATCCACCCGTGATTAGGGCCCTACTTCTTTTCTTCAAAGTAGAATTTGCCCAGCTTATCGCCGTCTTTCGAGTTACCCAAGACTGGCGCACGACCGCCTTCGCCACCATCAAGGCGCTCTCGCACGATGCGTTCCGCTGCCTCTCGTGAGGCTGGGCCACCTACGCCTTCTCTCATAGCACTCGTTCGTGGTTGACCGGGTTGGACAGGTACGGGTCCTCGGGTGGTGGTATCGACGAAGACATCGTCGTCTGAGGTACCCACGTGGCCGCCGCCATCCACAGCTACACCGTCGACGTATCTCGCCTGTCGCGTCTCGGCAGCGGCAGAGGAGCTGACGGGTGTGTCGCTACCAACGTCGCGCATCTCACGGTTTCGTATGGTGGCCTCCTGGCTCAAGCCGGAGCTGCTGCGCTCTAGAGCCCAAACACCCGTGGCGCCGACAGTGCCGGGGAGGGGTCGGCGGTGGTAAATTGGGCCACTGACAGTGGAGTTGGCGCCCTCACCGAAGCCGACAAGGCTGGCAGTGCCATCGTCGCTCATGCGATCGCGATCTTCGAAGCCGCCGACGGAACGGTTGGCCATCATGTCATCGTCCATCATGGGATCGCCAGACGTTGAGTCAACGTCCATGGTGCGATAGTTAGTGTCCATACTCATGCTCATACGGTCGTCCTCGTCTACCTCGGTCAGGTCGGCGTCCATCTCTCCGAACTGCTCGCCCGCCTCGCCCGTTGTCCGCGCACCGACGCTACCCGTCGCGGATGCCGTGCCCACCGTGCTCATCTTGGTCATGGCCGTCGGCTGTCCGTTGGAGTCGAAGTAGGCGGGCGTCAGGGCCTGCTGGGCCTGGGTGGTAGATGTTGGGGTGGTCTGCGGCGAGGCTGCGCCGCCGTGCTGCTGTTGGTTGTGGGCGCGCAGGGTGGACACGCGCTCTAGGCCGGCCAGACGGCTGATTCGGTCAGCGCGCTCTGCCTCGAGGCTGTTAGCGGACGATTGGTGCTGGTGGCCTCGGGGACCTCCGAGACCATGGTATGCGTGACCTCGATGACCATCTTTAATAGCGGTGGTAGAGAGTGCAGACAGGGACGTGGTGGTGCTAGTAGGAGTGCCACTGTTTGATATTCAGAAGTGGTTAGTCCTCGACGCGAACAGAGAAGAAATGGGAGGAAAGGTTCCTAGTACTTACGGGACGTCGCTTGGGGTGTCCGGATTGGATGGCGAGGGAGGGATGTTGATAAGCATCGGTGCTGTCTGTTGCTGCGACATCTTTGCTTCTTGTGTCGTCAAACAGGAGATTATTAACGGTGGATGTGAGTGTTGTGTCGCGTGGCGGTAGTTGACGCGTCTAGGCTGAGGTTCACGATGTTGAGAATGAAGAATGGGAAAGATGGGCTGATGGTGGTGGGGGTTTGACAGGAGCCTGATGCGTTTGTTGATCACGGCGTAAAGGAGTCGCCTCCTAATTCTCGTATTGACGGAATGTAGACGTATATCGATCGGAGATTATGGTCGACGATTCTTTGTTGATATCAATCAATACACGAAGAGAAAAACCGAGATTTGGTATTGGATAGGTTTGAGTGGTTCTTGTTGCTGCGTGTTTGCTTCGCTTTGCCTAATGCTAAGTATTAGGTGCAGCTAAGGTGGGGGATGACGTAGGGCTGTAATTAATCCTAATTGGTTCTAGCGGCGATGATCTCCACTCTTCAGCGACTTACCGTCCCCCATCATGTATAAGGTATCTAAGGTACCTAGGTACGTAGACGTGAATTACTGCTCTTCTGCCTAGAAATTGTGCAATCCCACGTAGAAGTGAATGGCATGACGACTTCAAATATTTATTTCTTGGACAGCGGTTGAATTTTATTTATATTAAACTGTTGGGACTTGGGAATTATAATCTTCTTTGTCAACAGACACGAAGACTGTCCCGATCAAACGACGTCATTGCATTTCTCCCCAATTTCCCCAACTCTCTGATTAAAGAGTCTCAAAATGCTCCAGGTGTAAAGTCGACAACCTGGACTTTCTCGATTATGTCTTTAATACTCGCACCAAACTCGAGGTGCGCCGGGTCCTTCTCGAGATAATATTTCCTATCCTCCTCGTTCTCAAACTGAAGAATGAATGCATATGTCATGTCATTCTGTTATTACTAAGTGGTGAGCTTCAATACAACCTGACGACGTGATGTCGAGAGAGACTATATGGAATGAGGCCTTACCTGGAGTGCTTCGGGGCTGTTATCTCTTCCCCCTCCGATTACTTTCAAGTATGTCTTTTGCGTTGTGGGGTGAATGCAGTTTGTCTCTAGAGCAAGCATCCGATTGCAAGCCTAATACACAGTCAGCCTGCATGTGTCTGTAGATATTCATAACTAAACTACTTACAGCCTTGTCTTCCTCCTGCGGTACAAGGTCTTTGAACTTGAGCAAGACGATATGGTAGATGGTCATGATGAAGATATTTAGATCGTCACAATTAAATCAAGACGTGGGGATCAAGCTTGTTCTTATGAATGTCAAGTGTTGTGGTCAAGTGACCAGTGATGGTCCCAAGTCTGCTGATTGGCACTTGATTGTCCACTCCGCATTCCGTCTTAGTCAAAGCCTCGAGATCAGCACAAACTCGAAATACTTCATTCTTGTTAGTTTCGATTTATTCATTGGTATAATATATTCACTCACTTATCATCTGTAGTGAGGGACTACAACCAAGGAGGTCCTTTAGGTATAAGCATGGATGTATTATACATGGTAACAGAAATGTCGTCGTAGATGTACATTGAGCCTTGACTTCCACCTACATGTACCTGGTACCTACTAGGTAGATAAGAGTATGCGCTTATAGATTATGCAACTACCCGTCTGAAGATCTGCCGCTAGTGGCAATAACATCCCTTAGGGATCGTAACTCCGAATAACTTCCTCCTTCTGCCTCCATTCACAATAGATCAACTTCCTCGACACAAATTTACGATTTTCGGATCACTTCAAACCATCAAATTCTCAGCATGAGGAAGGTTGATGGCTCCGATGATGAAGAACTAGGGGAGTTAGAGGATAAGACCGAGGCGCTCACCCTCTGCTCGAAACGCACTGAAAGAGCACGGAAGAAGCAGGCAAAGAAGACCAAAAAGAGCGGTAGCCAGTCGCGAGACCTCTTTAGTCTACCTTATGAGCTCTTTCTAGAGATCTTGACTCTTCTACGTCCTAGCGATATCTTCAACCTTCAGCGGGTCAACAGGGCTTTCCATGGGTTCATCGTGCAGGAGGAGCACCGGATCGCGCGGGTTATCACGAGTTGGCGTTATGTCTGCCTCGAGAAATGTTTTAGGTTACCGGTACTAATGGAGGATGTCGACCCAAGCATTCACACCCACGTTCAGAGCCCCGAACGACAGGAGCTTCTAGTGATACATAAGAAACCATATCAGCATGTGCAGGCTCCGGACCCGGCGGAGATATGCACGTGCTTGACTTGCTTGCTGCGATGGTCGGCCCTATGCCTAATCGTCGACTTCGCTCATTGGCAGCATAATCTGGACATTGGCGAGCCGATTCCCATGATCCCGCGGGGCAAACACCCGGAATGGAACCAGATTCTAATAGCTTCGAACGCGGCCATCGTACGCAAGGCCCTGCGCAGCCCACTTTGGCACGCTCGACTACTCGAGGCTCATCTGAGTTCGACGACAAGGTCCATACGCCGTCATGCTGCGAATAAGGGCAACAAGAGGCGGCGTTTCCGCATGTCGAAAGAAGAGATGGAGTCAGGTTCAGACCTGTTCCTAGAGAGGAGCGGTCCGCCGAGTTTTGACTTCCCGTTCCACA